AAAAACTAAATAAACCCTGATTTTAAAGGCTAGAAAAATAAAGACTGTATATAAGAGAAACGGCCAGCAAAGGGGCAGGGATGTTGTGGAAATATATAAAGATCACCAATTACACTATTTGATAGAAAAAGTTTTAAAATGGTGATAGAATTCAGGGAGAATTTAGTCATACAAAAACAAAAAGCACATTTACCTCCATAACAGAAGAAAAGAAAGATCTAGGAAGACGAGGTTACAGAGAAGGAACAGCAGCGAACCAGCTGAGGACAAAGGGGTAAAACCTGCAGGAGCTCACATTGGACAGCATTCATGAAACGAACAAGATCATATGCTTAGAATGAGGGAGATATAGCCGGGTGTGGTGGCTCACACCTGTAATCCCAGCACTCGGGAGGCTGAGGTGGGAGGATTGTTTCAAGTTCGAGACCAGCCTGGGCTACAAAGTGAGTTCAAGGCAAGCCTGGACGGCATAGAGACCCTGTCTCAAAAACACCAAAAAGAATGAGGGAGATATGATGAGATTGGAAGCAGAAAATATACAAAATTTGAAACAGTTGCTATGAAGAATGCAAAAAGAATTTAACAAGCAATGCATAAAGAATTGACAAGTAGCATTAAATTCAAATGAGATTAGATAACACAAATTTTCAGCAGACCAGATCTGCAGTTTTGTGATTTTCTGTAACAGCAAACAAGTTACAACATTGCATTTTTTTACCAATTTTTCCTCCATGCAAACTTGGCTTTTTTTTCTAGTCTACCTTTAAATGAATCCAGAAATGAATCTAAAAGTCCATTATATTTAATGAAGATATGCCTGGAAAAATACAAGAAAGATAAGTTATATTTAACTTAGTAAAATATATTTGATTTTCCCCCACCATTCCTAGGTTTATAATGTTAGACTACTAAGTTATCAACTGACAATTGTCTTTTCAAGTAAAATTATAAAAATATGCTCATGTAATTACTATAGTAAATTTTAAAATTCAATCTAAATACTTGACTGATAATAATAGTTTATATGTTATTTCAGAGGTTGACAAGTTAAATCTAGCCCACTGTCTGTTTTTGTACATCCTGTAAGATAAGAGCCATTTTTAGGTTTTTAAATGGTTGAGCAAAATCAGTAATTTTTGTGATGTATGACAATTTATATAAAATTCAAATACCTGTGTCCATAAAAATTTTATTGAAATATACTGCATTTGCTTTTTTTATTGTCTTGGTTACTTTTCTCGATGCTGAGACAAAATATCTGACACTCATAGTTAAAAGAAGAAAGGTCTATTTAGCTCATAGTTAGTAGAGTTTTCAGTCCAACTTTAAAGCTTGGTGGCATGGCAGACAGGTATTGCTGAGAAGGAATAGTTCATGGCAGGCAGAAGGTAGCAAAGCAAAAAAGGATGACCACAGCTCTTTCTATCCCTTATATATTATTCAGGCTACTTAAGGCAGATAGCACTCTTACCCTTAATCCTGGTGCCCTTGACTCTAGCATTCCCCCATGAATCAGTTCCAACATCACACACTTTAGAACCAGTCACTTCAGTAAAAGCACCACCTATAGCTATATGAGGCTGGGGGCGGGGGGAATCTATATGTAAGCCACAAGAAGTATATTTACAGAATCCTTTATGATATAAGTCAATCACCTAATGTAGTATCTTTTCTATTTGCTTAATTTCATGTATATGCTAGTATGTTTTGGTAGTAGGGCCTTCACAAGAGGCTATATCCTCAGTTCTTTTTTTTTTATTGTTTATTTTAAGATGGGGCATTCCTAAATTGCGTAAACTGGACTTGAATTTTTAATCCTTCTGCTTCAGATTCCTAGAGTGCTAGAATTACAGGTGTAAGCCAGCACACCCTGTTTCAATTTGGCCTCTGGATCCAATCTAGAGACAATAAACAAGAGATATATGGAAACAGAATATGCTTTTTTTGGTAAAAGTTTTTTCAAATGTAAAAATGCATTCTTAAATAATAGTTAAAAGCATAATATAACCCTGGGAAGCTACAACAAGAGGATGGCAAATTTAAGTCATATTTAGAAATATCCTTGACTCTAAATAAAAATTAAAAAGGGTTGGGTATACAGCTCAGGGTAAAAACTGGTTCAATACTCAGTTCTGGAAAAAAATTATACTGTAACAAATAACTAATAATATGAACATTTATGATTATCAAATACTTTGTATTGCACATAATTTTATGTGCTAGACTTGCATAATTGACAATGCAGTAGTTTGGTTTATACTAGTATCACTGCAAACAAATCACTATACATTTTGCTTACTTACCTTACTATGGTGTCATGAAGAGATGGGAATTTTCCAGTTTTCTTATAATCTTTTAGGATTGTGATTTGTAAAGCTGGTTCTTCACTGATTAAAATGTCATTACGCTAGATTAAAAAAATTTGACCACAGCCCAGGAAATTTAGCCATTTCGTAAGAAAATTTAAGAAGAAAAGAAAGGGGCCAGGCACATAGTTCAACATAAAGGTTCTTGGTTCATTCCCAAGTACTGGAGAAAAAAACTTCATTTTAAAATCTACCTCCTCAAATCCCCTAACTAAATTGAGAGCTTTATATAATTAGAAATTTCATTTTTAAATGTTGCAAATATGGAGATAATTGCAGGAAATAATAATACCAGTATACATGTTATCAAATTCCACGAACTCTTAATATTTTTGCTATAATTGATTCATATTAAACAACTGAAGCCTGGCTAGTGGCCCACACCCATAATCCCAGCACTCTGGGAGGCTAAAGGAGGACTGTCAATTTGTACCCAGCCTGGGCAGCTAACAATTTAGTGAGACCCTGTCTCAAAATTTAAAAAGAAAAAAAGAAAGAAAATAAGTTCTGCGTTTAATCTCCAGCACAGCAAATTAACTAATCAGTCAATAGAATTACAACCCCTTCAATTCTATACACGTTCCCTCCTTAGAAATAACTTTAACTTGAATTTGGCTTTGTATTTTCTAGGTTTTTTTTTTTTCCACATAAGCATTATTCCGTCTCTTTGCCCTAAACTTAAGGGAAAGCACTATAGAGACCCCTACCCAAAGGGAAGGAGACAGCCTGGCAGTCTCTGTAGACAACTGGCAGTCAAGTTTTGGGGGATCTGATAAGAGGTTGGATCAGTTATCTGAAGTCACAGAAGTCCAGATGGGCTTGAAGCCCCATGTTTGATCCAGCCTCTAAAGACCAAAGAGGGACCTGGCTACTCTGGGGTAGGAATCTTCTGTCTCCATCTCCTGTAGTTCTTGGGTCCTGGCCCTCCCTCCCCAACGCATGTCAAATTCAACACAAAAATTCACAAAATCACACAGACACAACTCTTTAATGAAAGAATTTTTATTGGGGGATTAAAAAAAAAAAGACTGCAATCCTGAACACGCATGCAGTCTGTAGTGGTACATCCACAGAACAAAGGAAAAGTTACGGGCTTTATCAGAAGAAAAAAAATCTACAAAAGTTCATTGGCAGCCAGACTTGGTGATGCAAGCCTGTATTCTCAGCACTGAGGGAGGCTGAGGCAAAAGGACTGCAATTTTGAGTGTGCCTGGACAGCCTGACACTGTCTCAAAGAATAAAAAAGGCCTGGGGATGCATTCCAGTAGTAAAGCATCCCTCAGTTTGATCTCTAATGCCAGCAAAAAAAAAAAAAAAAAAAAAAAATTCATTGGCATTATTAGTGCTTATGAGAGAAGGCAAATTCAGCCATGGCAGTTACTGAAAGTTAGTGCTGAGGTTCTCACTAGCAGTTGCTAAGTAAAAATAGTCTTAAAGTAAACTAAAGCCCAGAGTAGTGCCAAAGGCCTGTAATCCCAGGACTCTGGAAAGGTAAAGCAGAAAAATTGTAAATTCATGCCAAACACAGGCAATTTAACAAGACTGTATCTCAAAATAAAAAGGGGGGGCAGGTGATATAGCTCAGTGCCACAAGTGCCTGCCTGAAAAGCACAAGGCCCTGAGTTCAACTCCCCATAACTAACTAAATAAATAAATAAATAAAAATAAAAAAGAGCTGGGAATATACCACAATGTGAAGGACTTGGGTTCAATACCCAGTACTGGAAAAACACAAAACTAAACTAAACTACACTGAACAAAACAAAATAACAAAAAAGATATGATTGGCTGTCTCCATTAGTGCTCTGAAGGAGTTTTGGAACAAGCCAATAATATTTCCTCAACTCCATTTTAGTAGGATGTGACAAGCATGACTCCATTTTAGTAGGATGTGACAAGCATGACTCCAAGACACAAGAAAGTTGGGCCTTGCATCCCTCTGATGGAAAAGGGCATTTGTGAAAATCATTTAAATTAAAAATGGCAAAAGTATCACTATAAAATTTTTAAAAGAACAACACAGAACAGAACTCTGAACATGTCTACCTTGCTTGTTCCTATTCCCACATCTCTTAAAAAGCAGAGGCAAAGGCAGAGGCAGGCATGATGGCACTTGCCCGAAATCATTCCTGATGCAAAAGGACTCCCAAGTTCAAGCTCAGCCCAACAATTTAGAAACTTGGAGAAACTCTGACTCAAAATAAAAATTTAAAAGGGTTGTGGAGGAGAGGTACTCGCTGTGAAGGCACTAGATTCAATCTCCACTACAAAAAAAAAAAAAAAAAAAAAAAAAAGTAAATGGAGCCAAGGCATGGGGTATAGCTGGTAGGCTACCGGGCAGGGTTGGAGAATTTGGGGGGCGGGAGGGGCGGGGCACGGCTGGAGGATTGGGAGTTAGGGGTGATGGCATGCCAGGGCAGGAATGGAGAGTTGGGGGGGCAGGTACCGCTGGTTGATTGGGGGTTGGAGGGATGGTGGGCTAGGGGAGCCGTCTCAGAAATCTCAGAGGTCTGGGAGTGATAAATAGTTGACACAAAAAGGCCCAAGGAATAGCCCTGTGCTTGAGGTCCTTGGGACTCTGGTGTTGGTCTTACACAGCCGTCGGGTCTCTGGAGTGGTCTGCTTTTCCATATCTTAGTTTCCAGTTGCGGGGGAGGCAGTGCACAGGGCTGGCTTTGAGGACGCTGTGTTCGGAGACCTAGGCCAAACGCAGGCCTGGGTTGCAGGAGAGACGAGCTGCGGTGGTGGCCATGAGCCAGGATTCCAGCTGCTCTGAGCAGCGTCTTCCATGATCTTCCAACCCACCAGGCGCATGCAGGAGCTGGCATCCTCGCGAGAGTTGTGCCCAGCAGGTTTGTCCTGAATGACCTCCTGGAGGTAGTCAGCCACGAGGCTCCGTAGAGAGGGCTTGCAAGGGAGGCCCCGGGGGTGAGGGAAGAGCACCGAAGTGTCTACCACCGAGTGGTGGATTACCTTCAAGGCCAGCAGGTCGCTCTCCAGGCTGTGTCCAATGAGAATGGTGTCGGCGCTCAGCAAGCCCAGCAGGAAAGCCTGCACATCCCGCAGCCTGACGCTGGTGTGCGCAAGATCAGCCTCGGTCACCCCGGAAAACCTGGTGTTGTAGTCCACAATCTCCCGGTAAGGCTTAACGAAAGTGTCATAAACCACGCGCAGGCCTGCGTCTACCACGGTGACGCGAGTCAGCTCCAGGCCGCGGGAGGTGAAACACATCTCACAGTCCAGGGCGTAGATACCTGGGTAGGCGTCTTGTGAAGGTCCTTTGGCCATGGTCTTCACAAAGCCTTCGAGGTCCTCTTTCTTGCCGTCGTGCACATGCTGCTTGGCGACCTGGCAGCCGATGGAGCCGACGGGAGCAGAACAGCAAGTGTACTTGTTCTCCCAGCTGCCGGCCTCGAGCTTCGGGCGCAGCCGTCCCCAGTGGTAGTAACATTGCTCCGGGTGCATGCAGAGCCCCCAGGCGGTCACCAAGTACTCAGCGCCGCAGCGGCAGCAGGTCCTGCGGCAGGACTTCTGGGGCTTGTCCACGCCGGTGAAGAGCAGGGCGCGGCCCGGCCGCTCAGGGTCCGGGAAGGGGTAGCTGTTGGCCTTGCGCTGCTCCTCGGTGAGCAGGTACCTGCACAGGCGGCTGTACAGGCTGACCCTGTTGAGGCCCAGCAGGAAGCTGGGGAGCAGGCCCCTCAGCACCTTTGGCGCGCGCACAGCGCCCTGCGGGTAGTAGGCGCTCCTGTTCCTGCCGGGGCTGCGGTGATAGACCATCTTGTCTTGTATCCACACCCTTTTCAGAGCCTTCACAGGCGACAGGCAGAACGCCAGATACTCGTCAGCGAACAGGCCGAAGTAGCACTGGCGGACGGCCGTCGGCGTTTTCCCGCCGAAGTCTTTCTGGAACTTCTGTAAAGACCGGCCGTAGGAGGCGTGCTTGGCCGCGGTGTCAGCGGAGGTGCCGCCAGACGCCATCCCCGGCGACGAGCGCGTCTTCAGCGGCCTGCCGCCGGGCTGCGCGCCATTGGAGGCCCGGCTGGCGCTGGCCGCCAGAGTCCTCTTGGCATCTGTGGGGGGGACTGCCAACTTCGCGCCGGGAACGTTGATCTTCCTCTTCCCCCCGGGAGAGTGGACTGAAAAGGGCTTCCTGGCCGATTTCGGCGAGCCCGACTCCCAGCAGCTGGCTGGCGTCTGCTGGGGCCCTTGGGCGATCCTGGGCCTGGCAGGCGGCAACTCTAGGCCTCTCCTCGGAGGTTGCGCGTGGATTAAAATAAATCCCGGAGCCGGATAGCAAGTCTGGGGTGGGCTTGGATACGAGATTAAACCCACAGCCTCCACTTTCTGAGACTGTGGATGCCCCGGTGGAAACCAGGGAGGTGCAGTCGCCCTCAAACTCATGCTGCCGCGGAGTTCTGAAAGACTGTACACCGCTACTTACTCTCGGTCCGCTCTGAGTTCCAGGGTGTTCCTTCGGCCCTTATATCTGAAGTGGGAGCCAATCGCCTCACGCCCTCAGCTTCCGGAATTCCTTGGCTCCGCCTACCAGGCCGGTTGTAAACCATTGGATCCAATATCTTCACCCTTCACACACCCTACTCCCTACTGGTTTCTCCCACTCACTTTCCCCAACAATGGCCCTAGAATTTTACAACATTCAGAGTCTGGACTACCAGTGAAAACTGAGACTCAGAGAGTTTAGGCAACTTGTCCAAGTCATAGGACGTGCCAGGAAGCCAAGGTTTGACCCTGGCAGTCTGACATCTGTTGGTGGCCTCTGCTATCCTGGAAATGCCACTCAATATACTTTTCCAGGGTTTGTGAATAAAAACCTAGCTATGTACAAAAGCAGGTTCAATCCCCAACACTGAGGAAATAAGTAATATCTATCCCATGGGATAGATATTGAAAGGATGATTTTTATTCAGCAAATACTTTTTTTGTAAGTATTTGTCTTTCATACATAATAATTATATTCATCTTGGAAAGTTAACACACATATATATTGCATCTTGATCGTTTTTACTCCTCTTTTCTCCTATATTCCGGCCAATTTCTTCTAGTTACAATCTCATTGATATTGATACATTGATCAAACTTGCAATCCTCCTGACTCAGCTTCCCAGAATGATTGGTTTATAGGCATGTACCACCATACCCAACTAATTATTATGTGCTTGCTATATACTAAGGACTGACTATAGATACCAAAAATAAAAACTAAATCATTACTCAATGACCACAATTAATTAAATTTGGTCAAAAAATACTGATGTAGCAAAGATTCATAAGATTATGTCTACAAGTAAAGTTAGGCATGGGGGAACAAAACAAAAAGGTACACAGAAGAGTAGATCAATGGCTAGGAATGGGTAAGACTGACGATGGTGAATTTAGACACAAATCTTAAAAGATATGATTTGTACTATACCACTTCATCATTCACAAAACTCAAGTCAAATTCTTAGAGACTAAAATTGGAAAAGATTGAAGGTGAGCCCCACCTATGACTGCATGAGGCTTTAGGGGAACATCTAGACATAAGCTATAATGAGATTAATCTTTTCAAAGTTGATGTGTTAACATTCCTGTGGTGATTAAACTTAATCCCATCGATTTGTGGGTTACATTAACAAATGCAACTGCAGCCAAGGTGGAATAAAAAAGGAAAGAAAGGGAAAGTCTGTTGCATTTCTTGGAAGCTTCATTTTATTTGTTCTGGTATGTCTTTTGATTCCCGCTTCTTTTGCCTTCCAAGGCCAACTCATGCCATCAATCCTCCAGCGAGCTTCAATCTCAGGCTGGTATTCTAAGGTTTCCATCTTCTTGGGATGAGCAGCTGCTGGCTCCTCCTGCTCTCTTGCATGCAGATGGTAACTGTACACTTGCCCATCTCTGTTCCTGTAAACTTTTAAAATCCCCTTTCAGAATTATATACAATATGTGCAAAATATAGTTATGTTTCTTACATGTTTATATAGTTGAATATATTTTATATAAAATTTTATTAAGATGTGTATTGATATATATTTTTCTATCAATTCTGTGCCTCTAGAAGACATAAACTAACACAGTCCCTGAGAAATGTAAAGGCAATGTCTGCCCCTAACCTGAAGTGCTTTTGCACCATGTAGGGATCATTTCCACTGCTTTAGATGTTGTTATGCCTTGTGTCTAGATGTCTGGAAGTCACAAAAAGAAGAGGCAGACTGCCACTGCGGCTACTACTGCACTGATTTGCTGCTTTGTTGTCTTCTGCCTGCCATAAACTGTTTCTCCTCTGTGATGCCCCTCTTCCAGGCCACATGGCCTTGGAAAGAGCCAATTGTGAACTGAAACTTCTACAAACTGTGAGCCAAATAAAACTTTCCTCCTTTAACTTTGTGTGCCAGGTATTTTTGTCTCCGCAAGAGAAAGTAACTGAGAGGTGTACCTGTATATTTTCAGATGTTTTTTCTAAGTCAGTAGTATTATTAGATTAGCATGATGCCATCTATATAATGAAACATTTTACAGTGAGTGTGCAGGCAGTAACAAGCCAAGATCCTGGGTTGCCATCCCATCGGAAATGGTGGGGCTGTGCAAGTAGCCCTGAAGAAGCCCTTGAAAGGTCCACTGCTGTCCACTCCCGGTGAACATAAATTGGCCCTGGGATGCAACAGCTAAGGGAATGTTAATTAAAGAAAGCATTATCAAAATCAAAACAGTATGTCAGGGTTCCATAACCTACATTAGATATCTAATCAAGAGAGCAGTGTTAGACACAGCAGTGTATATTTAGGAGGAGAAGCACTACATTATTAACTCTTTACAACCCATGGTTACTTTTTATGAACCATGTGGCTTATCAGCCACACTAGACTACTAAAAAGATTGTGAGCTGGGCAGTTAACATTTTATACCCCTCTGGTAATTTATACTCTCTGGTATTAACCATCCTGTTTGGGTCAGACAGTTTTCCTTGTTCCCACTTCGCCCAGAAGATCACTGTTTTTAGTCTATACCATCAGGTGGAATTTTTTTTACAGCTATATTCATAACACATCCACTTTAGTGTGCTTTTTTTTCTAAGAGGGGGATATAAAGATATAAACTTACATTCCCAGGGTAAGGAGATAGTTGTCAATCTCTAGTATAATGGTAGCCATGTTTTTTAACCTATTAACTTCTCAAGACCTGGGTTTTTCAATGACAAGTCTGTTATATCAGTCTGAAATTTGTCCACAACAAATGTGATTCTGGCAGAATTTTTTATTACAGTTATAAATGGGCACTGGTATGTAAGAACCATTCCTTACAACCTCTTGGTTTTACTTACCTTCTGGTAGGGCTGATACAAGTGATTCTGTTACAGTATTTATAATCCATATTTTACTTTTGGTTTTTGTCCTTGTGAGGGGCCATACCCATTACCTATGGCTCTCCTAAAATCCTGTCCCATATGAACTAATTTCAGAGTTTTTAGTATACTCCAAGTCTACATCACATTTTGGGGGTGTCCCCATAGTTACATAGTGGGCCTTACTTATCCCAGGAGACATGTAAGCTCACACCACATGGAGGAAAGCAACCCGAGGATTTCACCTGCTGACACTCTTGTAGACTCACCTTTGGACATGCTGGCTCCCTGTTTGGGCTCCAGAAGTTTCAGGAACATTCCAGAAAGACATAAAGGGATTTTCTGTCTCTAAATTGAGAGGGGGTGACAAGTGCAGGCTCATGCGTTTATTAGAGGCTACTTATTGAGCAGTAGACAACTTGGGGACTATGACACTACCAAAGTCACAACCGCCCCACCCTCATGTTAGATAACTATTTTTTTATGGTTTTGTTTATGTTTTTTTGTTTGTTTGTTTTTTAAATTATATTTAAAGAAAGACTAAACAAAACAGAAAATAGGTAGAAATAATACATATGTTCAGAGAAAAAAATAAACAGTAAGAAATCACTTGATGTTTATATATTGACATTTTAAAAATAGTTGTTCAAGATACAAAAATGGAACGTGTAAAGTGGGAATTCAGTGAGACGGCAAACAGTTGTGTCCAACTGTCCAACAAAAACTTAGTAACATGGTTGTCAATCCTATACACTTAAACATACATGCAGTTATCCATATCTTCATTTATGTTTAGATTAAACAAACTAAAGCAGGTTAAAATCATTCTGAACAAAGAACAATAGTATTGCTGGATTTCACATCATGACACTCCGTGATCAGCACTGGTACTGTAGTGTCTTTTTTTAAATTCAATTTAAAGAAAGACTAAACAAAACAGAATACGGGTAGAAATACTACATAATTTCAAAGAAAAAATAAACAGTAAGAAATCACTAGTTGATTACAGATTGTCTGCTTACAAACAGTTAATTCAAGATACTAAAGTGGAGCATATAAATACGGATTCAAACAGTGATTATTGCAACCAGTTCGGTTCAACTGTCCAACAAAAACTTAGAAATATGGTTATCAATCCTATACACTTAAACATACATGTGGTTATTCATATCTTCAATTATGTTAACATTGAATAACCCAAGCAGGCTAATATCACTCTGAACAAAGAATAATACTATTGCTGGGTTTCACATTATGACACTCCAGGATCAGCACTGGGTATTTTAGTGTCTCTTTTTCTTCAAAGTATCTGTTCATTTCATCATGTATCATAAGATCAGTCCTCATGAACTGTTTATAGATTCTACACATGCATGAGTCTTAATATGTATTTCTATCTTTTCTATATTAGAGGGAGAAACAAAACAAAGCAAGACAAAACAAAACATATTCCTATAAACATATGAAATGAAAAAAAAATGTATGATCATTGTACAAAGAGTTCTACCATGGTTCCTGTGTTGTCTCTTGTTATCTCCAATAGAATTGGCTATATCATCAGACATAGTATAATTGAGTATATCAGTACATAACAGTGTTAATAAAAACACAACTTTGTATATAGTATAGAAATTCAAAAACTGGCAGTTATCAAACCAGAATGTGTATCGTAGAGTCATGTCATCTTCAGTGTAGTTGCCTATACTCTCACACTTGATACTATCAATCACATCAGTTTTGAATAAAATCTTCTCTGCCTCATTTGTTATGCTATTTTTTTGCCATCAGTTGTCTGCTTATCTTCTTCATTCTGTTTTCTGCTCCATTCATTGAGGCTTCTCTGCCACTGTTCCTGGAATCCTAGTACTTTTCTCTCTCTCTCGAACACCCTGGAGTATTCTCTGTAGAGTTGGATTGGTGATTGTGAAGTTTCCAAGTTCCTCTTTGTCTTGGAAGTATCTTGTTTCTCTATTAATTTCTAGAGACACTTTATCAGGGTATATCATCTGAGCTGGAGGTTATTTTCTTTCAGGGCTTGGAATATTTCACTCTAGGCTCTTCT